GGAAAGACACAGCTAAAGGACCAAGCCAAACAAAACTATTTAAAAACGTCAAACAAAAGGGCTGAATTAGCCTACAAAGGCACCAGCCCCTTGGAGACAAGCGCCACTCTCCCTTTTACCCTCTTCCTGCTTCTCTCTGGCTGCAGGCCAGTGCTGCTTGGCTCTGACAGACTGGTTCACCTATTTATAGTGGCTTTTACAACCAATTGAGGCAAGGCAATACTATTTGTAGATGTTTCTCTTCAAAACTAAAAAGCCTGAAATTTCTTACTCATGTAGTTCATAGTTACTTAACGTTAATTTAAGAAAAAAAACCCAAAAACATTAGCTGCATGTTATAAGGTAAAAGTAGTCCCTTTACAATACTTGTGGTTGAAATTTAACCTCCAGCGTCTCTGCATGTGACTGCGTTTGCAGATATGGCCTTGAGAGGGTAATTAAAGTAAAATGGGTTCATTAGGGTCAGCGCTCATTCAGTGTGCTGGTGTCCTTAATAACTGACCACAGGGAAGGCAAGATGAGGACACAGGGAAGAGGCAGGGCCACCGGGGCCACCTGCAGGCCAAGGAGATGTCAATGCCTTAGTCTTGATTCCAAACCTTCCAACTATAGAAAATATCTTTCTTGTGCTTAAACCACCTGGTGTGTAGTACCATAACTGCATAAATCCTGAAGACTTTGATTTCAGTTACTTGAAAGGTACAAAAGATACCGTGAAAGGGAAAGAATTTGTTCAATGGGAAGGAAAAACTGGCATGAGGAAAAGGACAAAAGAAAAAAGGGAAAAGGATATATTTAGTCATACAAGCAGCATACTTTGGATAATTGTACTGTTGATTTCTGTTGGTCTTTTGAAAGGAGCAGTTAATGCTTAATCTTTTTCTTTTAATTTTGAATAACGTTTTTGTTCTTGTTGATTTGTTTTGTTTTTTAAAATCAATTTTGTAGGTTTATAGCTGATAACCTAAATAATGAATTTGAACATCATGTATTCAAACGTCATAACATCATGCAATACAGTAATCATTGTTAAATTCCTATTACTTTGTTTAATGAAATTTTGTACCATTTTAATGCTATTTTTCTTTACTATTATATATTCTTTAAAAAATAAAATGTATCTAGTTTGTATCACTCACACATATGACAACATAAGCATCTGTACTCACTTCTACAATGCAACATATGCTAGCTGGGGAGATGATCTGCTTTACTAGTAACATGCAATCCTGTGCGTCTTTCTATGAACTTCTTTTTTAAAGCCATCTATAGTTCATTACCTTTTTTTCTGTCCATTACTTTTGATTATTGAAAAACAAAATTTTTTTTCCATCAGTTATCTCAGTCAATATTTTGCAATAAAGTTTTATACGACACAGCTTATGTTTCTTTTCTTTTTAAAAAATGTATTTGATACAAGGTCTCACTAGGCAGCGCTTCCTCATAATCATCCTCCTGTTTTTAGCCTCTGCAGCACTGGGATTACAGGTATGTGCCACCACGCCTGGTCTCCGTGGCTGGCTCAGCACACCCAGGGGCCAGGCCTGCGCAGCATGTGGTGCTGGGAGATCAAACTCAGTCCCTGGGCTTACCTAAGCAGGTGTTTAGCCCACTGAGCTTTCTCACCAGTCCTTATGTGGTTTATGTTTCTAAGCCAAACAAATTCAACACAACCCAGACAGAAATGATAGACAAGAACATGCACATGTATTTATACATATCCTTAAACAAAGCCCAACGTACGCTTTGCTGTGACAACTCACTTTCCCTTTCCCGGGAAGCTTTCCAGGGGAGCCTCGTCCACATTCACTCTTTCAGGACCGGCTACCTTCTTTCCCACGAAGCAGGCCCAGTTGCGGCCCAGCACGTCGTGCACCCAGCCCGTCATTGTCTCGTGGCAGTAGCTGACCACCGTGCTGCCTTGGGTTTCATACTGTAAACACATGAGGAAAGGAAAAGTTGCGATGACCTCGATGGCGGCACTCAAGTCCAGTTCTCCGGCTCTTACTCACAGGGTAGAAGACACTTCCTGCCACTTGCCAAGCAAAGCAAAGACTTCTACCAGAGAGGTCATGTTCTAGGAATTATTCTAGAAAACAAGGAGACAAACTTTCCTAGAGTTACCATGACTGCTGCTCTCCAAACAAAAACTAGGAAGCTAAATATTCCCAGGAATGAAAAGACGGGAAAGAAACTCAGATGTTTAGCGCATTCACCATCTGCAAGCCATTTGACAAAAGTCACTTCTTTTAATCCTCACAGTAGACCTATGAGGGGGAAAGAGCAACAGGCTCGTTTTACCAAGGGACCCAATGGAGTCTGAGCTCGGAAAGAACGAGGAACGGCTGCTGAGGGGGATCTAGCCTCAGTTCTTCTAGCCATGTTTCTCCAGGCAAAAATTCACACCAAAAAGTTGTGCAACAAATAGTAATTATTTTCTATAGAAATAGACAGAAATCAGTCCTGTCAATGAATCCATTTATGAAGTCATGCTGATTGTGACTAGAGGATAAGGTAAGTGGATTATTGACTACAGTATTCTGCCTTTGTCATATTTCAATGTTAACACTGAAAAATACTTCTAATATTACAGAGCCAGGATTTGAACTCAGATGCTTCATCTGCAGTACTCAGGCATCCTCAGGAAACAATGCTGTTTCATTAGAGAGGATGGCCTTGAGCAGGCAGGCAGACCAGAAGGTACAGTGCTGTGCTTCTTGGGGTAGAGATTTGGACACAGGCAATTTCAGCTGCTGAGACTGTTTAATGGGACAAACTATTTGTAGAACTTTGGGCAAGATTTTTATTTGGCTTTAGATCTTTCAACTAAAATGAAGGAACTGGAAAAACTACCCTCAAAGATTTCAACCCTGAGATTCTAGGACCAAATGGAAATGCGTGAACATTTCCCAGATCAGCCAGACAACAGGCGTTTCGGGCCCTCCAGTCATTAAGGGTGCTGTGTCTACGTGTCTCCACAGCACAAGAGCAGTCACAGACAACACACCGACAAATTTACACCGAGACCGGGGATGTTTAAATGCAACCTTTTTATATATATATATAAAAATAGGCAGACTGGTTTTGGGTTCAGGGGCTACAGTCTTCAGAACCCTACTGTAATCTAACGGATGCTATATTATACATTTGTAGAGGTTGGCAAGCTTCTTTGTGTAACAGCCAAATATAAATATTGTAGGTTTGCTGAACGGGCTTCTGCTAGAGCTATCCAATGCGGACACCACTGGGGTGAAGAGCATGGAAGGAACACACAAGCGAATGAGGTGGGCCATGTGCTAACAACAAAACCCAGCCTGCCGCTCGCCAACCCTTGGTCCGGAGGGATGAGGCCGTACGCTGCGGCTCCCCGTCAGCCGTGGACTGCAGGTCCAATACCCCGCGGCATACGGTGCTGCTAAGCTCTGCTGCTAGGTAGGTGCATTACGTGTATTTTTGATATGATCTGTTTCAACTTTCAAGAGAGCTTATCAGGACTTAATCCAAGTTGAGGAGCATCTTTATTACGCTGTATTTAATTTTATTTTTGAAGATAAGACAGAGCTTAGTGTAGGTGATTTCATAGGAAGCGATGTAACCCCCTACAATTCAATTATGTGCTTTTCTCTGGCACTGACTCTTAATCAAATTCCCTTTGCTGGTTTAGCTGGTGGCCAGGTAGGGCAGGCCAGGGCCCCTTGGCACCTTTGCTGTTTTAGAAGGTAGTCTGCCAGCGTATGACGATTCCTTGAGATTTGTTTTAGAAATCAGCCTCACATACACACAGACACAAACACAGTACTGTGCACACTCAATGCTGTACAAGAGAAACGTTAAAAACAGAGAATGAACTTAAAAAATTCAAAATGTTCAATATAGGTATGTTTTATTAACACAAAGGAATATTACAGCACTTGCTTAATCAGTTTACAGGCAAGGGGTGAGCCACAGGCAGGACAGGGCTTCCTGCTTCTGCAGACATAGGTGGGCTGGAAAGCAGCACGTCCGTTTCTCGGTGCATGACTTACAGCTGCGTTTGCGTTATGGCAGCGCAAGCTTCACACCTTGGAAACACTGTACAAGTTAGTCATAAATCTTAGAGGCTCAAGAGAACACAAGAAGTAAATATATTTTCAAGAGACAAAAAAGAAACCTCAGAAAGTGACTGAATTAGAATTTATAGTCAAAGATTCCTATAGTCATGATCATTCCCGAACCTATGCACTACTTCTTCATATGAAGTGCTTAGCCTTCTCAAAAAAAAAGCTATAGAGAGCTAAGCAATTACTAAGACATCAGAGGGAGAAACCCAGAGATGACGCAGAAAAAGTTAAAATCCAAGTGGCTTCACAAAATCCTGTATTATTTCAGCTTGACAAAATATTTTCAGTCTCACCAACTTGACCTGGTTAGCTTTGAACTCCCTACACTCCTGCCTTAAGCTGAGCAGCTGAGATTTCAGGCATTTGTCACCACATCCAGCAAAAACAATAAGCAAAACTGGAGTAATAAAAGATAAAAAACAAATGGCAAGTCCCATTCCAATAAGAGAAAAAACAAACTTAAAAAAATAATTTATAGTCGACGAGTGGGACAATGCCACATCAGAGCCCCAAACTAACTTACAGAATAATTTCAGAAAAGTCTATTTTCCTCTACAACCTGGTTTTCTATTGTAAATTTAGGTTAAGTTAACACTTCCAAAAGTTCCACTGAGCTTCCTAACTGGACATCTGTATTCTGTGGTTCTACGTAACACCAATAGTCAGGACAATAATCCTTAATAGAGACACATTCTTAATTGCATACTTAGAATCTTCTTTCAAAATCACTACTTTGACTTTGTTGCTGTAATTTAAACAGTTTAAATGTTCTGAAATGTTTTACTTATGAGTGCTGATGGAATTTTCTTCTCAAAATTTTAAACTATTCTGTAGTTTTACAATCTAATTTGGTGGTTTTTAGAACCTGAAATTTTCTTATAAAGTGTACAAACAAAGCTATAAAAAAGATAGACCAGAACTGTGCAGTAGAAAACACAGCAGAAAAGAGGAACTCCCAGTTCAGAAGGCAGGTACCTAACAGGTAACTAACACTGTCACTTGAGGGACCACACACTGTACCCCTATTTCCTCGAATATTCTACTATTCTAAAATCATGAGTGATTTTTGACATTAGTATTAGTTAAGAAGTTAAAGCCTTTGGTCATGTTATCCAACTGTCTTTTTTATCCCCAAAACAATTTTTTCCCAAAACAGTTTTCATTTACATAAACATTGATCTCTGAAGACTGCTTGGGACAGATGAAAGGATTTAAGTTTCTATCCATTTATGCCAATTTCTACGGAAAGAGATAAATTTCTCAAAAATCTGAAGAGCTTCCAAATCCCAGTCCTTAAAGTCAGAAAACTACCATGATGCAATAACCATCCATTCACTTCTTCACAATTATCATTAAGTTGCCTAATACGCTCAAAATCCCCTTTCTTAAATTTCCCACTTGGTTTTTCAGTAGTTTAGTTAGAACTACCTAGAAATATGAACTAATTGAAAACAACAGCTTGGGAAACTTCAGAACTTACTCATTCTAGAATTGACACTGTATGATCTTTTGACGCTCAGGAGCCAGATTTAAAAAAAAAAAAAAAAGGATCAGTTCAGCTAGTAATATAGTTAGAAAATCTTGAAATGTTTATTTTATATAACATTTTGGCTCACAGTTAAAGCTGGTTCTGCCCCTGTCCGAAGCCTCAGTTTCTGATTCTGCTATAGAGATGATAGCCATGACTGATCTTTTTCACTAGACATTATAAAGAATAAAGACGATTTTGAAGTTTGAAAAGCTTGAAATGTTATAAAATATCGAACAAGTAGCAACACAAACACTGCCATCTGTTGCCATGCCGAATACAAAGCGGAGACGTTTGAGACACCCTCAACTACCGTATGTTTTATTCTGAACTCTTAGTTGCCAGTTGACAATGGCTTCTCCCTGTCTCTCCGGTTTCCAAAATGAGATGAGGGGACCACTTGAAAAGTAATGCAGTTTTTGTTTATGCTCGCAACATACAAGTAGTTATCTTTTTTCAACTTTATGTATTTGGTACAGGGTCTCACTAAGCCACTTAGACTCGCAGTGATCCTCCTGTTTCAGTCTTCGCAGCACTGGCATTACAAGCGTGCGCCACCACGCCCAGCCTAGGTGGCTGGTTCAGCGTGTCTGGCGCAGCACGTGGTACTTGGGATCGAGCCCTGATCCCCGCATTTGCCTGAGCAGGCGCTTAGTCCACTGAGCTATCTTGCTGGCCCACCATATAAAAGCAATTCTGATCACTATTTCCACTACTATTTAATATTAGAAGCCATGCCGATGCCCTTAGCAGTTCCCCAGTCAGACGTTCACCTTGCACGTACAATGTTCTTGCTAAGGACTTGTGACGAGGTGGGACACAGCACACCCCTCTACACGTGCCCAATGGACCCAACTAAGCGTTTCAGCTGACTTAGTCAAGCTAATTCTCATAAAATAAAGCTGTGGCCTAAGACATAAAGAAACCCAAATCTACCAATACTGATGCAACAAATGAAAATGGCAAAGCATGTGCTCAACCCTGTTCTGAATTGTCTTAACCATGTTAAAAGCTCAATCTTTGGAAACAGATGGTTGGGTTTTAAATGCTTTTCTTTCTTGAAGGCAGATACTTTGAACGGTTCTATCACTATGATAGTCGATTTAATCGTATGTATCTAACAACTGCAAATGTTGCAGTTAAGATCTATTGCTGAATTATCATTCCTTGTACCAATCAGCAATTCATTTAAAGTTGTCTGAAGCTGTGACACCTCCACACTGTAAACAGAATTGTCCAAACCTAATGAAATTATTTTATTTAAAGGATTTTAAAACATGTTAGAAAATTGTGCCCCAATATTGA